TTAGCATGAAGAATATCAATGATAAAATGAGAAAGACGTGATAAGAGATATAAATGAAGATTATATATGGTTTAGCTCCTATCCTCAAGATAAAGACAATAGCTCCAAATAGTGTCCAAAATGGTGACATATAAATTATAGCATCTCAGTTTCCTAGTTACTTACCTTGTCAAAGCCATCCAGATCAGAGGTGCTCAAGATCTTCCTGTTCTCCATCATTGTCGTGTTCAACCAACTGAAATAACCAAAAATCCACATGGTGTCAGCACTACTGAAAGCAAAATTATATGCTAAAGATAAAATTAAAATTAAAAAAACGCATGTCTTTCACAACAATGATATTGCTATTTTGAAGTATTGCTTTCAACATAAATACAGGTAAATTGAATAATTCAAAAGAATGGTTGATATGAAGTTGAAAGATGGAATGAAATCATAAAATACTCTTATGTTATTCTATATCTTAATTTAACTTAATATCTTAGGCTAGACTGCTAAGTTTAAACTTCCCCCAAGCTTGCGTTTTCAAGTCTTTTTTTTTAAACTACACACACACACACGTACATATATATATGTACGTATGTGTGTGTGCGCGCGTGTATATATATATAGATACATACACACACACACGTGTGTGTGTGGTGTGTGTGTGTGTAGATACATATGCGTGTGTGTGTGTGTGTGTGTGTGTGTGTGTGTGTGTGTGTGTGTATATATATATATATATATATGTGTGTGTGTGTGTGTGTGTGTGTGTGTGTGTACATATACATATATATGTATCTACACACACACACACTGTGTGTGTGTGTGTGTGTATTTGTGTGTGTGTGTGTGTATACATATACAAATACATATATTGGTCAGAAAACATCAATTATTTCTTTTTGGGTCAAAGACGATACATATGTATATGTATATGTATATGTATGCGTGTGTGTGTGTGTGTGTATGTGGGGGGGGGGGGGGGGGTGTGTATACATATACAAATAAATATATTGGTCAGAAAACATCAATTATTTCTTTTTGGGTCAAAGAAGCTTAGGTACTTTCTGAGGGTTTACTAGTTTTTGGAGATTCCACTAGGACCCACCAAAGCAAGACACTACGGGTCCGTTTGAATGAAATGAAGTATTAGAATAAAAAGGAGAAGAAAGAAGTAACTTTCAAATTTATGAAGGAAGAACTAGCGGAAGTCTTACTTTTTTTTTTGTTTGTTTCACATATTTTTGACAGTAGCGGAAATGCTACTTCTTTCTCTTCATTCATTTTTTTTTGTTTGGATAGCAAATGGAAATATTGTTAGGAAGTAACGTAAAATTTATCATATCAAGCTATATCAATTGAAACCAGAATAATATAAAGCTGACAACAATACTAAATTTGTTTTCTAGAGTAATAATATTCAACGTGTTGCTTATATGCATCTCAAAATATTATTGTTAATTATGTCATTTTAGATCATTCACGGAAAAAAAAACCAATCATATAGGAAAAGGGAACTTGGAAGGGGAAAGTTAGGTCAAAAAAAGTTTGGATACATACAAAACGAAACCCAATATTTGCGCGTGTATGAACCTCTTCAATTTATGCTCACATGTAAAACTTATGAAGTTCGCGATTGAGCTATTCTTTTCTGCGCATGAGAGACAGATGTAAGTATATCCATAGTGAGAGTGGCCGGTTTGGAATTATGATGATTCTAAGATTCCTAATTTCATGCTTACCCTAAATTTCAGGTGGACCCCACACACATCATTTCCACTACTTCTGACCTGCTTCGGAGACTTGGGGAACAGAAAAAATTATAGGAAATAGACGTGCCACAAAGGCGCCACATCAACATCTAGGGAATCTAGGGAAGTATCAGAAGTAGCTCTTCCGGGGGAAAAAATTATTTTTTCATTCAGAAATAGCAGAAGTAGCCTCTACTTCTAGCTATACTTCATGGCTACTTCTGCACAAACAAACACGTCCCAAAGGAAAGCAAAACAAAGATGGAGTTTTGTAACAAACTAGTGCAGTTCACTCACCGAACAAAAGATATTCGCTAAACAACTAGCTCTTATAAAATAAAAGAAAATTGAATTACGAAGAACAAATTGCTCTGCCAGTACTGCTTGCTTTACTACCCCATCCCTTTAATCACTCGATGAAGCACCTTTTTGTTTCAGTCATCTGCTTCCAAACAGTATATGATAAAGAAAGAATACAAATGTTAAGCAAGCTTAATCATTATTTTAAGCATAATGAGAACTCAAAACTTGTATCTATTACTGATACTCTGCAGATGTGTCCAGAGTTTAGCTCTGTAGCTAGAAAATTAACATGAAATCAGAGTATCAAAAACAACAAATAGGATTAAATTTAGTAAATCGTAGTAATAGTAGCAACTATGATGTGGAATTCAGTTATCTTCAATTATAATCGCTACTGCAATAGCAACATATGCTCTAATATGCTAAAACTGTTGCTTCAAACTAGAAAGTCTATCTCCATGCGGATACGGAAATGCATTGCAGAATATGTGACGCAAGAACAGAGTCAGTAAAAGTTCTAATGAAGAATTTTTAGGACTAAATTTGAAAACATTACCAGTAGAAATCTCCTTGACGATCCTGAAAATGAATCTTGAAATCACCAGCCAACTCAGTCAGACCTGGTTCACCGGGTAAAGCAAACACCATGATTCCCTTCTTTGGTGCACTGAACCAGAAATCTTCCGGCTGAATAAGAAAAGTGTAAAAGTTATAAATGCATAATACAGCTACATATGGTACAGTCCATTTGAGCAAGAACAAATTCGTGTAACATATAAAGAAGCAACTGAATGAACATGTTGGGTTCCCAGTATTGGGTTAACATTCACTTGGGTTAAACTTGAACCGAAAGAGACAGAACTATCAAATGCCAAAAGGGCAAAATTGATAAGAGATTCTCACC